TCGTGTGAAAGTTGAGGACATCAAATGTCGTGTGAAAGTTGAAGACATCAAATGTCATGTGAAAGTTGAAGACATCAAATGTCGTGTGAAAGTTGAAGACATCAAATGTCGTGTAAAAGTTGAGGGCATCAAATGTCGTATGGTCAAAGTTGAGGACATCAAATGTCCTGTGAAAGTTGAAGACATCAAATGTCGTGTGAAAGTTGAGGGCATCAAATGTCGTATGGTCAAAGTTGAGGGCATCAAATGTCGTATGGTCAAAGTTGAGGACATCAAATGTCGTATGGTCAAAGTTGAAGACATCAAATGTCGTATGGTCAAAGTTGAGGACATCAAAATGTCGTATGGTCAAAGTTGAGGACATCAAATGTCGTATGGTCAAAGTTGAGGACATCAAATGTCGTATGGTCAAAGTTGAGGGCATCAAATGTCGTATGGTCAAAGTTGAGGACATCAAATGTCGTATGGTCATAGTTGAGGGCATCAAATGTCGTATGGTCAAAGTTGAGGGCATCAAATGTCGTATGGTCAAAGTTAAGGGCATCAAATGTCGTGTGGTCAAAGTTGAGGACATCAAATGTCGTATGGTCAAAGTTGAAGCCATCAAATGTCGTGTGAAAGTTGAGGGCATCAAATGTCGTGTGAAAGTTGAGGGCATCAAATGTCGTATGGTCAAAGTTGAGGGCATCAAATGTCGTGTGGTCAAAGTTGAGGGCATCAAATGTCGTATGGTCAAAGTTGAGGGCATCAAATGTTGTATGGTCAAAGTTGAAGACATCAAATGTCGTGTGAAAGTTGAAGACATCAAATGTCGTATGGTCAAAGTTGAGGGCATCAAATGTCGTATGGTCAAAGTTGAAGACATCAAATGTATGGTCAAAGTTGAGGGCATCAAATGTCGTATGGTCAAAGTTGAGGGCATCAAATGTCGTATGGTCAAAGTTGAGGGCATCAAATGTCGTATGGTCAAAGTTGAGGGCATCAAATGTCGTATGGTCAAAGTTGAAGACATCAAATATCGTATGGTCAAAGTTGAAGACATCAAATATCGTGTGAAAGTTGAAGACAGCAAATATCGTGTGAAAGTTGAAGACAGCAAATGTCGTGTGAAAGTTGAAGACATCAAATGTTGTGTGAAAGTTGAAGACATCAAATGTCGTATGGTCAAAGTTGAGGGCATCAAATGTCGTATGATCAAAGTTGAGGACATCAAATGTCGTGTGAAAGTTGAGGACATCAAATGTCGTGTGAAAGTTGAAGACATCAAATGTCATGTGAAAGTTGAAGACATCAAATGTCGTGTGAAAGTTGAAGACATCAAATGTCGTGTAAAAGTTGAGGGCATCAAATGTATGGGCAAAGTTGAGGGCATCAAATGTCCTGTGAAAGTTGAAGACATCAAATGTCGTGTGAAAGTTGAGGGCATCAAATGTCGTATGGTCAAAGTTGAGGGCATCAAATGTCGTATGGTCAAAGTTGAGGACATCAAATGTCGTATGGTCAAAGTTGAAGACATCAAATGTCGTATGGTCAAAGTTGAGGACATCAAAATGTCGTATGGTCAAAGTTGAGGACATCAAATGTCGTATGGTCAAAGTTGAGGACATCAAATGTCGTATGGTCAAAGTTGAGGGCATCAAATGTCGTATGGTCAAAGTTGAGGACATCAAATGTCGTATGGTCATAGTTGAGGGCATCAAATGTCGTATGGTCATAGTTGAGGGCATCAAATGTCGTATGGTCAAAGTTAAGGGCATCAAATGTCGTGTGGTCAAAGTTGAGGACATCAAATGTCGTATGGTCAAAGTTGAAGACATCAAATGTCGTGTGAAAGTTGAGGGCATCAAATGTCGTGTGAAAGTTGAGGGCATCAAATGTCGTATGGTCAAAGTTGAGGGCATCAAATGTCGTGTGGTCAAAGTTGAGGGCATCAAATGTCGTATGGTCAAAGTTGAGGGCATCAAATGTTGTATGGTCAAAGTTGAAGACATCAAATGTCGTGTGAAAGTTGAAGACATCAAATGTCGTATGGTCAAAGTTGAGGGCATCAAATGTCGTATGGTCAAAGTTGAAGACATCAAATGTATGGTCAAAGTTGAGGGCATCAAATGTGTGAAAGTTGAGGGCATCAAATGTCGTGTGAAAGTTGAAGACATCAAATGTTGTGTGAAAGTTGAAGACATCAAATGTCGTATGGTCAAAGTTGAGGGCATCAAATGTCGTATGATCAAAGTTGAGGACATCAAATGTCGTGTGAAAGTTGAGGACATCAAATGTCGTGTGAAAGTTGAAGACATCAAATGTCATGTGAAAGTTGAAGACATCAAATGTCGTGTGAAAGTTGAAGACATCAAATGTCGTGTAAAAGTTGAGGGCATCAAATGTCGTATGGTCAAAGTTGAGGACATCAAATGTCCTGTGAAAGTTGAAGACATCAAATGTCGTGTGAAAGTTGAGGGCATCAAATGTCGTATGGTCAAAGTTGAGGGCATCAAATGTCGTATGGTCAAAGTTGAGGACATCAAATGTCGTATGGTCAAAGTTGAAGACATCAAATGTCGTATGGTCAAAGTTGAGGACATCAAAATGTCGTATGGTCAAAGTTGAGGACATCAAATGTCGTATGGTCAAAGTTGAGGACATCAAATGTCGTATGGTCAAAGTTGAGGGCATCAAATGTCGTATGGTCAAAGTTGAGGACATCAAATGTCGTATGGTCATAGTTGAGGGCATCAAATGTCGTATGGTCATAGTTGAGGGCATCAAATGTCGTATGGTCAAAGTTAAGGGCATCAAATGTCGTGTGGTCAAAGTTGAGGACATCAAATGTCGTATGGTCAAAGTTGAAGACATCAAATGTCGTGTGAAAGTTGAGGGCATCAAATGTCGTGTGAAAGTTGAGGGCATCAAATGTCGTATGGTCAAAGTTGAGGGCATCAAATGTCGTGTGGTCAAAGTTGAGGGCATCAAATGTCGTATGGTCAAAGTAGAGGGCATCAAATGTTGTATGGTCAAAGTTGAAGACATCAAATGTCGTGTGAAAGTTGAAGACATCAAATGTCGTATGGTCAAAGTTGAGGGCATCAAATGTCGTATGGTCAAAGTTGAAGACATCAAATGTATGGTCAAAGTTGAGGGCATCAAATGTGTGAAAGTTGAGGGCATCAAATGTCGTGTGAAAGTTGAAGACATCAAATGTCGTGTGAAAGTTGAAGACATCAAATGTCGTGTGAAAGTTGAGGACATCAAATGTCGTATGGTCAAAGTTGAAGACATCAAATGTCGCATGGTCAAAGTTGAAGACATCAAATGTCGTGTGGTCAAAGTTGAGGGCATCAAATGTCGTGTGAAAGTTGAGGACTTCAAATGTCGCACACAGCAGAACATGCAGGACATCAAGGGGAGACAATGCCCAACTCGCACACAGGACATCAAGGGGAGACAATGCCCAAGTCGCACACAGGACATCAAGGGGAGACAATGCCCAAGTCGCACACAGCTGAACTCTGTAATTGACAGCTTGGTGGACGCTACTTCAGCAGTGACGTCTTGTCAATTAGGTTTTAATTACACAACAAGGTTAGCACTCGCTTGATGAGTTCACGTGGAGCAGTGCTGTTAGGGCCACCTGATGCTGTCACAGACAGGGCCATCTGGTGCTGTCAGGGCCATCTGGTGCTGTCACAGACAGGGCCTTCTGGTGCTGTCACAGACAGGGCCATCTGGTGTTGTCACAGACAGGGCCATCTGGTGTTGTCAGGGCCATCTGGTGCTGTTAGGGCTACCTGATGCTGTCACAGACAGGGCCATCTGGTGCTGTCACAGACAGGGCCATCTGGTGCTGTCACAGACAGGGCCATCTGGTGTTGTCAGGGCCATCTGGTGCTGTTAGGGCCACCTGATGCTGTCACAGACAGGGCCATCTGGTGCTGTCACAGACAGGGCCATCTGGTGCTGTCACAGACAGGGCCATCTGGTGTTGTCAGGGCCATCTGGTGCTGTTAGGGCCACCTGATGCTGTCACAGACAGGGCCATCTGGTGCTGTCACAGACAGGGCCATCTGGTGCTGTCACAGACAGGGCCATCTGGTGTTGTCAGGGCCATCTGGTGCTGTCACAGACAGGGCCTTCTGGTGCTGTCACAGACAGGGCCATCTGGTGCTGTCAGGGCCATCTGGTGCTGTCAGGGCCATCTGGTGCTATCAGGGCCATCTGGTGCTATCATAGACAGGGCCATCTGGTGCTATCACAGACAGGGCCATCTGGTGCTATCACAGACAGGGCCATCTGGTGCTGTCACAGACAGGGCCATCTGGTGCTGTCACAGACAGGGCCACCTGGTGCTGTCACAGACAGGGCCATCTGGTGCTGTCACAGACAGGGCCATCTGGTGCTGTCACAGACAGGGCCATCTGGTGCTGTCAGGGCCATCTGGTGCTGTCACAGACAGGGCCATCTGGTGCTGTCACAGACAGGGCCATCTGGTGCTGTCAGGGCCATCTGGTGCTATCATAGACAGGGCCCTCTGGTGCTGTCACAGACAGGGCCATCTGGTGCTGTCACAGACAGGGCCATCTGGTGTTGTCAGGGCCATCTGGTGCTGTCAGAGACAGGGCCATCTGGTGCTGTCACAGACAGGGCCATCTGGTGCTGTCACAGACAGGGCCATCTGGTGCTGTCACAGACAGGGCCATCTGGTGCTGTCACAGACAGGGCCATCTGGTGCTGTCAGGGCCATCTGGTGCTGTCACAGACAGGGCCATCTGGTGCTGTCACAGACAGGGCCATCTGGTGCTGTCAGGGCCATCTGGTGCTATCATAGACAGGGCCCTCTGGTGCTGTCACAGACAGGGCCATCTGGTGCTGTCACAGACAGGGCCATCTGGTGCTGTCACAGACAGGGCCATATGGTGCTGTCACAGACAGGGCCATCTGTAGACATTAGACTATGGTCAGTAGTTTTTCAATCCAACTTAGAAACTTTTAACAAAAGCAAAACGTACTGACAACTTGCTTTATTTATAAATGCATAAGGAATATTTTTAAAAATTTTCAACAGATCACAGCCATTAGTTGGTGCTTTGTAGTTGTCATAGTAACTGGAACTACACCCCCACTTCCCTTCAACACAAATACATATGGCACTGGACATTTTTATATAGAACACACAGGTCAATTAGTTCAAAGGTAAATACAGGTCAATTAGTCAAAGGTAAAAACAGGTCAATTAGTCAAAGGTAAAAACAGGTCAATTAGTTCAAAGGTAAAAACACAGGTCAATTAGGTAATTCAAAAACACAGGTCAATTAGGTAATTCAAGTGTTTGCTTCTATGTACAACAAAAACATCAGCTTGCAAATTCAAGGGCAGAAAGTTGGTCCACAGCAAAATATGATGGCTTGAACCAACCAGTGTTTGGTAATAACTAAAATGGTTGGCCTACAGCAACTAAAATGGTTGGCCTACAGCAACTAAAATGGTTGGCCTACAGCAACTAAAATGGTTGGCTTACAGCAACTAAAATGGTTGGCCTACAGCAACTAAAATGGTTGGCCTACACCAACTAAAATGGTTTGCCTACACCAACTAAAATGGTTGACCTACACCAACTAAAATGGTTGACCTACAGCAACTAAAATGGTTGGCCTACAGCAACTAAAATGGTTGGCCTACACCAATTAAAATGGTTGGCCTACACCAACTAAAATGGTTGACCTACAGCAACTAAAATGGTTGACCTACAGCAACTAAAATGGTTGGCCTACACCAACTAAAATGGTTGGCCTACACCAACTAAAATGGTTGGCCTACAGGGACTAAAATGGTTGGCCTACAATGGTTGTGACTAAAATGGTTGATCTACGGCTTGAATAAAAAAAAATTGTAATTAAAGTTTAAATTAAAGACATTAAATTAAAGTCATTAAATAAAACTGGTCATAGACTCTACTTCATACATTAGATAAAACATATCTAAGGGCTTTTGTTTCTCTTCAAAATGTTAGTACTACAGTCAGGGCATTTGTTAGTACTACAGTCAGGGCATATGTTAGTACTACAGTCAGGGCATATGTTAGTACTACAGTCAGGGCATATGCTAGTCACATCACATTGAAATAAAATTCATCTACTTGATTCTGTCAAACCTGTACCTGTACATTTAGCAGACAGTTTGTATGTGACCTCCCACACAGTTTGTATGTGACCTCCCACACAGTTTGTATGTGACCTCCCACACAGTTTGTATGTGACCTCCCACACAGTTTGTATGTGACCTCCCACACAGTTTGTATGTGACCTCCCACACAGTTTGTATGTGACCTCCCACACAGTTTGTATGTGACCTCCCACACAGTTTGTATGTGACCTCCCACATTAGTCCACACAAACCACATACACTTTACAATCAACAGGTCATTAAAACTCACAACTTCAGGTCTTTAGATCCAGTCCAACTATCCACACATTCATTAGGTCAGTCCAGTTTAAAACTCATTCTTAAAAAGTTTGACAAAATCATCCAACTTAAAATATAAATACATCACTAGCCAACAAATCATCCAACATAAAATGTGTCTGACACCACTAGATAAATCATCCAACATAAAATATGTGACATTACTTGCCAATGACTAGACTGTACAGATGACAAATTTTATCAACAATAATTTGAAAGTTCTAAAACAATTTCATAGCTTCATTATTTGACAGGAAAAATTGGAAATTATTTGTTATTCTAGAGATTTAAAGCTTTGAAAATAACTAAATATGAAAGTCAGTCAACTGTCCCTGAGGTCAGTCAACTGTCCCTGAGGTCAGTCAACTGTCCCTGTGGTTGTCCTTGTGTGGCCTAAAATCCAGTCCTTGTTGAGCCAGACAGCCCATGATGATGTGCTGCCCTCAAGGTCGAAGCTCCTTGACTGTTGGGGGCCCTGACTCCCTGATTGTTGGGGGCCCTGAGGCCCACCTGCTCCGCTATACGACCAAACAAGGAGCTGATGCCATTGCCTGAGGACTGTCTTAGGGGCTGGGAGTGGACAGCGCTGATATAGGCTGTATCAAAGAGCTGAGACACCATGTCCAGTCTCTTCCATCTTAGGCTGCTCACATTCATGGCCACAGCCTCTTGGCATCTGGGGACAGAATTGTGATGGCATGTGAAAATTGTTGTGTTGTGACAAGAATTGTGATGGCATGAGAAAATTGTCATGACAAGAATTGTGATGGCATGTGAAAATTGTTGTGTCGTGACAAGAATTGTGATGGCATGTGAAAATTGTCATGACAAGAATTGTGATGGCATGTGAAAATTGTCATGACAAGAATTGTGATGGCATGTGAAAATTGTCATGACAAGAATTGTGATGGCATGTGAAAATTGTCGTGTCATGACGTGCTGACATTTGCGATGACTTACGAGCTGATGTGACTGGCTCTGTCATTGCTACTGTCACTCTGTGATGTGTTGCCAGGTACGTTGTCACTACTGGAGATGATCTGCCAGCTGAGGATTGACACATCACTTGTATGACTGACAGACAGCACATACCTGACATACAACATCTGACTGACAAACAGCACATGACTGACATACAACATCTGACTGACAGACAGACGTGACCTAACAGACAGACATGACCTGACAGATGGACATGACCTGACAGATGGACGTGACCTGACAGATGGACGTGACCTGACAGATGGACATGACTGACCTGCCTATACTGTGTGTCAGGTTGACCTGCTCAGCCCTGTGTGGCACCAGCATGGGGCTGGTAGCTCTGGCCAGACTAGTGGACACAAAGTGGTTGGACTTGATGGACAGCGCCTGGCTGTCGCTGGATGGACGTCTGACATTGATGGGTGAGCTGCAGTGTGTTCTGGGTGAGGCTGACCTCAGGGGGGAGGCTGACCTCAGGGGGGACGCTGACCCCCTGTCAAGTCAATAGAAACATTTCATTAGACAGGAACTAGTTGTCAATAGAAACATTTCATTAGACAGGAACTAGTTGTCAATAGAAACATTTCATTAGACAGGAACTAGTTGTCAATAGAAACATTTCATTAGACAGGAACTAGTAGATACTTGAATCAAATAAATGCTGCTCTCACATCATAAAATAAGTATCAAAGTTTTAGAATAACAAAATTTTCAATGATTTCAAAAGGCAAAACAAGATTTGTAAAAAAAAAACTGATCAACTCATTTATTTTTACAGCTATAGCTATCATTGTAAGAGTTTTTATTTTCTATTGTTTGGGAACTTGTGACCTTTCTCTAGTGTAAATCTACAAGCTGTCCTACATGTTTCAATCTTCAAACAATATGTACTATAAATATATGAGACAGGTCCTATAGACAGATGACAGGTCCTATAGACATAGATGACAGGTCCTATAGACATAGATGACAGGTCCTATAAATATATGAGACAGGTCCTATGGACAGATGACAGGTCCTATAGACATAGATGACAGGTCCTATAGACATAGATGACAGGTCCTATAAATATATGAGACAGGTCCTATGGACAGATGACAGGTCCTATAGACATAGATGACAGGTCCTATAGACATAGATGACAGGTCCTATAAATATATGAGACAGGTCCTATGGACAGATGACAGTTCCTATGGACAGATGACAGGTCCTATAGACAGATGACAGGTCCTATAGACAGATGACAGGTCCTATAGACAGATGACAGGTCCTATAGACATAGATGACAGGTCCTATAGACATAGATGACAGGTCCTATAGACATAGATGACAGGTCCTATAAATATATGAGACAGGTCCTATGGACAGATGACAGGTCCTATAGACAGATGACAGGTCCTATAAATACGAGACAGGTCATATAAATATATGAGACAGGTCTTATAGACAGATGACAGGTCCTATGGACAGATGACAGGTCCTATGGACAGATGACAGGTCCTATGGACAGATGACAGGTCCTATAGACATAAATGACAGGTCCTATAGACATAAATGACAGGTCCTATAGACCGATGACAGGTCCTATAGACAGATGACAGGTCCTATACACAGATGACAGGTCCTATGGACAGACAACAGGTCCTATAGACAGATGACAGGTCCTATGGACAGATGACAGGTCCTATAGACATAAATGACAGGTCCTATAGACAGATGACAGGTCCTATAGACATAAATGACAGGTCCTATAGACAGATGAGAGGTCCTATAGACATAGATGACAGGTCCTATAGACAGGTGACAGGTCCTATAGACAAGTCCTTATGACTAACCTGGTAAGAGTGAACTTCCTGCTCCACTGGAACTCATCATCTGACTCGTCCTCCTCCTGGATGCCCAATGAGAAGTTGATCTGTTCATTGGCATCACTGCTGCTCATGCTACTCAGGCTGGTAGAGCTGCCCTTACCATAAGACATGCATTCTGTGGATACAGGCACAGTTAGGGGGGCGGGGCACTGGGTGGGGGACTTGGTGTGGGGGTAGGGGCTTGGGTGGGGGACACACAAGCAACCTACCAAGTAAAACTTCATGGAAACTGCTCTCTGAGTCAGCCCTGTGGTGGTTAGCTCCCCTGGCCTGGCCATCTAGAGGTGGTGATGACAGGTCATGTGACGATGGCGCGCTGAGGGAATCAAAACATTGCTAACACAGGATGAACCCCACCCCCCCATATGTCAAAACATTGCTGACACAGGTTAGGATGAACCCCACCCCCACATGTCAAAATATTGCTGACACAGGTTAGGATGAACCCCACCCCCACATGTCAAAACATTGCTGACACAGGATGAACCCCACCCCCATATGTCAAAACAGTGCTGACACAGGTTAGGATGAACCCCACCCCCACATGTCAAAATATTGCTGACACAGGTTAGGATGAACCCCACCCCCATATGTCAAAACAGTGCTGACACAGGTTAGGATGAACCCCACCCTCCAACTCTATAACTACATATTACCTTAATCCTAACCTTAAGACCAAGACAAAAATCCTGAGAATTAACCTCAAACTAAAATTAACCCAAAACCAAACCCAACTCTAGACATGATTTAAGCCTAACTCAGATCCTAACACTAACCCTAGCTCTAGCCCAAACCCTAGCCCAAACTCAAACCCGAGTTCTAACCCTAGCTGAACCTTAAGCTATGACCGGGGGGGGGGGGGGGGGGGGGGGGGGTAATGTCCTACTGGTTGAGGGGTCATTGACAGGGGGTAATTACTCTGGGGGGGGGTGGGCGTCCCAGGAGGGGTAAAGCCCAGTTCCCCTATGCCGTACCTTTTTAAAACAGCAAAGTCATCTGTTGAAATATCTTTCAAGACTTTAAAGCAGAAATATAGCACCTGAAAGTAGAGGTCATAGGTCAGATCAGGGTAGGTTGGGTTTAAGTCAATGTAGGTTGGGTTTAGGTCTGGGTAGGTTGGGTTTGGGTCAGGGTAGGTTGGGTTTGCGTCAGGGTAGGTTGGGTTTGCGTCAGGGTAGGTTGGGTTTGCGTCAGGGTGGGGTTTAGGTCATGGTTAGCAGTTTAGATCAGGACCAGAAAGATAAGGGGTCATCCATTTTTGGTATTGGGAATTTTTTACCTCCCCCGTGTGGACGTCATAAATGGATGACACATAAGACACAGACACTTACCCTAACCCCCGTCACTTAACTCCCCCTCCCCCATCACTTACCTCCCCCTCCACATCACTTACCTCCTCCTCCACATCACTTACCTCCCCCTCCACATCACTTACCTTCCCCTCCACATCACTTACCTCCCCCCGCCCCCATCACTTACCTCCCCCTGCACTTACCTCCCCCTCCACATCACTTACCTCCCCCCTCCCCCTGCACTTACCTCCCCCCCTCACCCTGCACTTACCTCCCCCCTCCCCCTGCACTCACCTCCCCCTCCCCCTGCACTTAGCTCCCCCCTCCCCCTGCACTTACCTCTTGATCATTGTTTAATCTGTCTGGGAGGTCATGCCTGAAACAAAGTCACAAAGTCACTACCTGTAGCAGGTTTTAGTTATGGAGTCACTACCTGTAGCAGGTTTTAGTTACGGAGTCACTACCAGTAGCAGGTTTTAGTTATGGAGTCACTACCTGTAGCAGGTTTTAGTTATAGAGTCACTACCTGTAGCAGGTTTTAGTTACGGAGTCACTACCAGTAGCAGGTTTTAGTTAAGGATTCACTACCTGTAGCAGGTTTTAGTTACGGATTCACTACCTGTAGCAGGTTTTAGTTACGGATTCACTACCTGTAGCAGGTTTTAGTTACGGAGTCACTACCTGTAGCAGGTTTTAGTCAGTCACAAAGTCACAACCTGTAGCAGGTTTTAGTCACAAAGTCACAACCTGTAGCAGGTTTTAGTCACGGAGTCACTACCTGTAGCAGGTTTAAGTCACGGAGTCACTACCTGTAGCAGGTTTAAGTCACAGTCACTACCTGTAACAGGTTTTTAGCCAAAGAGTCACTACCCGTAGCAGTTTTTAGTCACAAAGTCACTAACTGTAGCAGGTTTTAGTCACAGATACACTACCTGTAGCAGGTTTTAGTCATGGAGTCACTAGCTGTACCAGGTTTTTTGTCACGGAGTCACTACCTGTACCAGGTTTTTACTAACGGAGTCACTAGCTGTAGCAGACTCACCCAAACAGGTACCAGTCATAGCCTAAGGTCAGGTACAAAATCTCCAGTGCTGACAGGGACTTGTGTATGGCACCATCTGCCCACAGTGAGAGTCTGAGTAGGGAGATGAAGAGAGGGGTCCTGTCCCAGCCTGATATACAGTGGACCAGCAGGCCAGACTTTCCTGGGAGAACAGAGGGGGGGTCTTAAACATGTAGGCAAGACATGTAGGCAAGGCATGTAGGCAAGACATGTAGGCAAGACATGTAGGCAAGAGGCAAGACATGTAGGCAAGACATGTAGGCAAGAGGCAAGACATGTAGGCAAGAGGCAAGACATGTAGGCAAGACATGTAGGCAAGAGGCAAGACATGTAGGCAAGACATGTAGGCAAGAGGCAAGACATGTAGGCAAGACATGTAGGCAAGAGGCAAGACATGTAGGCAAGACATGTAGGCAAGAGGCAAGACATGTAGGCAAGACATGTAGGCAAGAGGCAAGACATATAGGCAAGAGGCAAGACATGTAGGCAAGAGGCAAGACATGTAGGCAAGACATGTAGGCAAGACATGTAGGCAAGAGGCAAGACATGTAGGCAAGAGGCAAGACATGTAGGCAAGAGGCAAGACATGTAGGCAAGAGGCAAGACATGTAGGCAAGACATGTAGGCAAGAGGCAAGACATGTAGGCAAGACATGTAGGCAAGAGGCAAGACATGTAGGCAAGAGGCAAGACATGTAGGCAAGAGGCAAGACATGTAGGCAAGAGGCAAGACATGTAGGCAAGAGGAAAGACATGTAGGCAAGAGGCAAGACATGTAGGCAAGAGGCAAGACATGTAGGCAAGAGGCAAGACATGTAGGCAAGAGGCAAGACATGTAGGCAAGAGGCAAGACATGTAGGCAAGAGGCAAGACATGTAGGCAAGAGGCAAGACATGTAGGCAAGAGGCAAGACATGTAGGCAAGAGGCAAGACATGTAGGCAAGAGGCAAGACATGTAGGCAAGAGGCAAGACATGTAGGCAAGAGGCAAGACATGTAGGCAAGAGGCAAGACATGTAGGCAAGAGGCAAGACATGTAGGCAAGAGGCAAGACATGTAGGCAAGAGGCAAGACATGTAGGCAAGAGGCAAGACATGTAGGCAAGAGGCAAGACATGTAGGCAAGAGGCAAGACATGTAGGCAAGAGGCAAGACATGTAGGCAAGAGGAAAGACATGTAGGCAAGAGGCAAGACATGTAGGCAAGAGGCAAGACATGTAGGCAAGAGGCAAGACATGTAGGCAAGAGGCAAGACATGTAGGCAAGAGGCAAGACATGTAGGCAAGAGGCAAGACATGTAGGCAAGAGGCAAGACATGTAGGCAAGAGGCAAGACATGTAGGCAAGTCATGTAGGCAAGTCATGTAGGCAAGACATCTAGGCAAGACGCAAGACATCTAGGCAAGACATGTAGGCAAAACATGTAGGCAAGACATGTAGGCAAGACATGTACGCAAGACATGTAGGCAAGACATGTAGGCAAGACATGTAGGCAAGACATGTAGGCAAGACATGTAGGCAAGACATGTAGGCAAGAGGCAAGACATCTCTGTAAGAGCCATTAGACAGTGCTCACCTTTCTTGATGTATTGCAACAAAAGCTTCATGTAGTTCTGTGTCAGCTCAACCAGGCTCCATTCCTGTGGAGGTAGGGGGGGGGGACAGGTAAACAATAGAGTAAACATTTAAATGTAACCTTTTTACTCATGGTAGAATGATCACAAACTGCATGGACACCTCATTCAACACACAACACCTCATTCAACACCTCATTCAACACACAACACCACTTTCAACACCTCATTCAACACACAACACCTCATTCAACACACAACACCTCATTCAACACACAACACCTCATTCAACACCTCATTCAACACACAACACCACATTCAACACCTCATTCAACACACAACACCACATTCAACACCTCATTCAACACACAACACCTCATTCAACACACAACACCTCATTCAACACACAACACCTCATTCAACACACAACACCTCATTCAACACACAACACCTCATTCAACACCTCATTCAGCACACAACACCTCATTCAACACACAACACCTCATTCAACACACAACACCTCATTCAACACACAACATCTCATTCAACACACAACACCTCATTCAACACCTCATTCAACACACAACACCACATTCAACACCTCATTCAACACACAACACCTCATTCAACACACCTCATTCAACACACAACATCTCATTCAACACACAACACCTCATTCAACACCTCATTCAACACACAACATCTCATTCAACACACAACACCTCATTCAACACACAACACCTCATTCAACACACAACACCTCATTCAACACACAACATCTCATTCAACACACAACACCTCATTCAACACACAACACCTCATTCAACACACAACACCTCATTCAACACACAACATCTCATTCAACACACAACACACACAACACCACATTCAACACCTCATTCAACACACAACACCTCATTCAACACCTCATTCAACACACAACACCTCATTCAACACCTCATTCAACACACAACACCTCATTCAACACCTCATTCAACACACAACACCACATTCAACACCTCATTCAACACACAACACCACATTCAACACCTCATTCAACACACAACACCTCATTCAACACACAACACCTCATTCAACACACAACACCTCATTCAACACACAACACCTCATTCAACACACAACACCTCATTCAACACACAACACCTCATTCAACACACAACACCTCATTCAACACCTCATTCAACACACAACACCTCATTCAACACCTCATTCAACACACAACACCTCATTCAACACACAACACCTCATTCAACACCTCATTCAACACACAACACCTCATTCAACACACAACACCACATTCAACACCTCATTCAACACACAACACCTCATTCAACACACAACACCTCATTCAACACACAACACCTCATTCAACACCTCATTCAACACACAACACCTCATTCAACACACAACACCTCATTCAACACACAACACCTCATTCAACACACAACACCTCATTCAACACCTCATTCAACACACAACATCTCATTCAACACACAACACCACATTCAACACCTCATTCAACACACAACACCTCATTCAACACCTCATTCAACTCACAACATCTCATTCAACACACAACATCTCATTCAACACACAACATCTCATTCAACACACAACACCACATTCAACACACAACACCACATTCAACACACAACACCTCATTCAACACCTCATTCAACACACAACACACAACACCTCATTCAACACCTCATTCAACACACAACACCACATTCAACACACAACACCTCATTCAACACACAACATCTCATTCAAGACACAACACCTCATTCAACACCTCATTCAACACACAACACCTCATTCAACACCTCATTCAACACACAACACCTCATTCAACACCTCATTCAACACACAACACCACATTCAACACACAACACCTCATTCAACACACAGCACCACATTCAACACCTCATTCAACACCTCATTCAACACACAACACCTCATTCAACACCTCATTCAACACACAACACCTCATTCAACACACAACACCTCATTCAACACACAACATCTCATTCAACACACAACACCTCATTCAACACCTCATTTAACACACAACACCTCATTCAACACACAACACCTCATTCAACACACAACATCTCATTCAACACCTCATTCAACACACAACACCTCATTCAACACACAACACCACATTCAACACCTCATTCAACACACAACACCTCATTTAACACCTCATTCAACACACAACACCTCATTCAACACACAACACCACATTCAACACACAACACCACATTCAACACACAACACCACATTCAACACCTCATTCAACACACAACACCTCATTCAACACACAACACCACATTCAACACCTCATTCAACACACAACACCTCATTTAACACCTCATTCAACACACAACACCTCATTCAACACACAACACCTCATTCAACACACAACACCACATTCAACACACAACACCACATTCAACACCTCATTCAACACACAACACCTCATTCAACACACAACACCACATTCAACACACAACACCTCACTTAACTGTATGCAGGTTAGTTAAATATGAACAGATGACACACCAGTACACACATGACACACCAGTACACACATGACACACCAGTACACAAATGACACACCAGTAACACTAGTACACAAATGACACACCAATACACGAATGACACACCAGTACACAAATGACACACCAGTACACACATGTACACACATGACACACCAGTACACACCAGTACACAGATGACACACCAGTACACACATGACACACCAGTACACACATGACACACCAGTACACACATGACACACCAGTACACACCAGTACACACCAGTACACACCAGTACACACATGACACACCAGTACACACCAGTACACACATGTACACACATGACACACCAGTACACACCAGTACACAGATGACACACCAGTACACACATGACACACCAGTACACACATGACACACCAGTACACACATGACACACCAGTACACACATGACACACCAGTACACACATGACACACCAGTACACACATGACACACCAGTACACACATGACACACCAGTACACACATGACACACCAGTACACACCAGTACACACCAGTACACACCAGTACACACATGACTAACCAGTACACACCAGTACACACATGTACACACATGACACACCAGTACACACCAGTACACAGATGACACACCAGTACACACATGACACACCAGTACACAGATGACACTTACCTTATATTTGGACCAGTCAACCTCGACATCATCCACCAGTGCAGAAGAGGGGAGGTCCAAGGAGGAATCATTCAAAGCCTAAAACAATCAAACTATAATACCACATCAGCTAGACAAAAGATCCCATATCCCACACCACATCAGCTAGACAAAAGATCCCATATCCCACACTACATCAGCTAGACAAAAGATCCCATATCCCACACCACATCAGCTAGACAAAAGATCCCATATCCCACACCACATCAGCTAGACAAAAGATCCCATATCCCACACTACATCAGCTAGACAAAAGATCCCATATCCCACACTACATCAGCTAGACAAAAGATCCCATATCCCACACTACATCAGCTAGACAAAAGATCCCATATCCCACACTACATCAGCTAGACAAAAGATCCCATATCCCACACTACATCAGCTAGACAAAAGATCCCATATCCCACACTACAGCTAGACAAAAGATCCCATATCCCACACTACAGCTAGACAAAAGATCCCATATCCCACACTACAGCTAGACAAAAGATCCCATATCCCACACTACAGCTAGACAAAAGATTCCATATCCCACACTACAGCTAGACAAAAGATCCCATATCCCACACTACATCAGCTAGACAAAAGATCCCATATCCCACACTACATCAGCTAGACAAAAGATCCCATATCCCACACTACAGCTAGACAAAAGATCCCATATCCCACACTACATCAGATAAGACAAAAGATCCCATATCCCACACTACAGCTAGACAAAAGATTCCATATCCCACACTACAGCTAGACAAAAGATCCCATATCCCACACTACAGCTAGACAAAAGATCCCATATCCCACACTACAGCTAGACAAAAGATTCCATATCCCACACTACAGCTAGACAAAAGATCCCATATCCCACACTACATCAGCTAGACAAAAGATCCCATATCCCACACTACATCAGCTAGACAAAAGATCCCATATCCCACACTACATCAGCTAGACAAAAGATCCCATATCCCACACTACAGCTAGACAAAAGATTCCATATCCCACACTACAGCTAGACAAAAGATCCCATATCCCACACTACAGCTAGACAAAAGATCCCATATCCCACACTACAGCTAGACAAAAGATTCCATATCCCACACCACATCAGCTAGACAAAAGATCCCATATCCCACACTACAGCTAGACAAAAGATCCCATATCCCACACTACAGCTAGACAAAAGATCCCATATCCCACACCACATCAGCTAGACAAAAGATCCCATATCCCACACTACAGCTAGGCAAAAGATCCCATATCCCACACTACATCAGATAAGACAAAAGATCCCATATCCCACACTACATCAGATAAGACAAAAGATCCCATATCCCACACTACAGCTAGGCAAAAGATCCCATATCCCACACTACAGCTAGGCAAAAGATCCCATATCCCACACTACAGCTAGGCAAAAGATCCCATATCCCACACAGCTAGAGATCCTACCTGGCTCCAGTCGTACATGATGTTTTCCCCCATGTAGGAGCTGTCTTTCCACTCCTTGAAGAACTCACAGCCTAAAAACAGAGACAGGAGGGGGGAGGCATGGTGTTATGGAAGAAGCATGGCAATTAGAAATAATGGATAATACAGCTGAATTATAACGAGCTGAATTATACAAGATGAATTGTAACAAGCTGTACTGTAACGAGCTGAATTGTAACTAGCTGAATTGTAACTAGCTGAATATGTAACTCATGACAAGAACAAAAAGTTAAAAGAAAAGATTTAGAAGAAAAAAAAATTATTTGGGAAACAAAAGCATAAATGTTTAACTAGATATGCTAGCTGACCCACACACCCACCTGTTTATGCTAATAATAATAATAATGATAATAATTGAATAAATAAAACCTACCTGGATAGGGCATGCCAAGAATAGAGAAATCAGAATATCTATTTTCTTTATCTACTTTTTCTGATGATGACACCCTAAACAAATGACAGAATCTTTATTAGTGATGTATGTTGAAGGATTGATGTTGCCTGTTTGTGTCTGTCTTGTGTGCTGGTGTCTGTCTTGTGTCTTGGTGTCTGTCTTGTGTGTTGGTGTCTGTCTTGTGTGCTGGTGTCTGTCTTGTGTGCTGGTGTCTGTCTTGTGTGTTGGTGTCTGTCTTAGTGTCTGTCTTGTGTGTTGGTGTCTGTCTTGTGTGTTGGTGTCTGTCTTGTGTGTTGGTGTCTGTCTTGTGTGTTGGTGTCTGTCTTGTGTGTTGGTGTCTGTCTTGTGTGTTGGTGTCTGTCTTGTGTGTTGGTGTCTGTCTTGTGTGTTGGTGTCTGTCTTGTGTGTTGGTGTCTGTCTTGTGTGTTGGTGTCTGTCTTAGTGTCTGTCTTGTGTCTTGGTGTCTGTCTTGTGTCTTGGTGTCTGTCTTGTGTCTTGGTGTCTGTCTTGTGTGTTGGTGTCTGTCTTGTGTGTTGGTGTCTGTCTTGTGTGTCTGTCTTGTGTCTTGGTGTCTGTCTTGTGTGTTGGTGTCTGTCTTGTGTGTTGGTGTGTGTCTTGTGTGTTGGTGTCTGCCTTGTGTGCTGGTGTGTGTCTTGTGTGCTGGTGTGTGTCTTGTGTGCTGGTGTCTGTCTTGTGTGTTGGTGTCTGTCTTGTGTGTTGGTGTCTGTCTTGTGTGTTGGTGTCTGTCTTGTGTGTTGGTGTCTGTCTTGTGTGTTGGTGTCTGTCTTGTGTGTTGGTGTCTGTCTTGTGTGTTGGTGTCTGTCTTGTGTGTTGGTGCCTGTCTTGTGTGTCTGTCTTGTGTGTCTGTCTTGTGTGTTGGTGCCTGTCTTGTGTGTTGGTGCCTGTCTTGTGTGTTGGTGTCTGTCTTGTGTGTTGGTGTCTGTCTTAGTGTCTGTCTTGTGTGTTGGTGTCTGTCTTGTGTGTTGGTGTCTGTCTTGTGTGTTGGTGTCTGACTGTCTTGTGTGTTGGTGGCTGTCTTGTGTGTTGGTGTCTGTCTTGTGTGTTGGTGTCTGTCTTGTGTGTTGGTGTCTGTCTTGTGTGTTGGTGTCTGTCTTGTGTGTTGGTGTCTGTCTTGTGTGTTGGTGTCTGTCTTGTGTGTTGGTGTCTGTCTTGTGTGTCTGTCTTGTGTGTTGGTGTCTGTCTTGTGTGTTGGTGTCTGTCTTGTGTGTTGGTGTCTGTCTTGTGTGTTGGTGTCTGTCTTGTGTGTTGGTGTCTGTCTTGTGTGTTGGTGTCTGTCTTGTGTGTTGGTGTCTGTCTTGTGTGTCTGTCTTGTGTGTTGGTGTCTGTCTTGTGTGTTGGTGTCTGTCTTGTGTGTTGGTGTCTGTCTTGTGTGTCTGTCTTGTGTGTTGGTGTCTGTCTTGTGTGTTGGTGCCTGTCTTGTGTGTTGGTGTCTGCCTTGTGTGCTGGTGTGTGTCTTGTGTGCTGGTGTGTGTCTTGTGTGTCTGTCTTGTGTGTTGGTGTCTGTCTTGTGTGTTGGTGTCTGTCTTGTGTGTTGGTGTCTGACTGTCTTGTGTGTTGGTGGCTGTCTTGTGTGTTGGTGTCTGTCTTGTGTGTTGGTGCCTGTCTTGTGTGTTGGTGTCTGTCTTGTGTGTTGGTGTCTGTCTTGTGTGTTGGTGCCTGTCTTGTGTGTTGGTGTCTGTCTTGTGTGTTGGTGCCTGTCTTGTGTGTTGGTGTCTGCCTTGTGTGCTGGTGTCTGTCTTGTGTGTTGGTGTCTGTCTTGCCCTACTTACGGCATCCCAAACTTTGTTTTTTTCTTCTCCACCATCAGATCACAGATGTAGCCAACATCAAAAAATTTCAGGAGGTGAATGTCGTGCCCCCGGAACTTGTCAAACATGTCTGTCTTCCTGCGGAAAAAGTAACGGATGGAAAAACTTGAAAGGTTGGGCAGTCAAACTGCTGAGCTTAGTAAGAGAGTTGAGTTGATCTCATCTAAACCACACCACAAATATCACAGAGCATAAGCTTTGTCACGGGCATAAGCCACACACCACAGGGCATAAGTGACACACCACAGGGCATAAGCCACACACCACAGGGCATAAGCCACACACCACAGGGCACAAGCCACACACCACAGGGCATAAGCCACACACCACAGGGCACAAGCCACACACCACAGGGCATAAGCCACACACCACAGGGCATAAGCCACACACCACAGGGCATAAGCCACACACCACAGGGCACAAGCCACACACCACAGGGCATGAGCCACACACCACAGGGCACAAGCCACACACCACAGGGCACAAGCCCCACAGGGCATAAGCCACACACCACAGGGCACAAGCCACACACCACAGGGCATGAGCCACACACCACAAAGTATCATGAGCATGGAACTGATGTGTCAAGAAGATAGAAATGAACCAATCAGATGAAGCAGTTTAGATGAGACACCAACTTACACAGAAGAAGATGATGCTAGTCCTAATTACATTTCTCTCAGCTCAAATAGAACCAAGATTCTGACAAAATGTACATTTATGGAGGCTAGGGTTAAGGTTCTATTTAAGTTACCAGACATTAATACATAAAACTACATTCAACAATTAACACAGCCAGCAGGTGACCTCTGACCTGATAACACAGCCAGCAGGTGACCTCTGACCCCTGACCTGATGTAAACAGTGCATGCAAGTGGGGGTCTTTAATTTTCTTTTAGAAGAGAGAGTGGGTGGGAGGTGCTTATTTGATGGTAAGAGTTTTTGCTTATATGATGGTAAGAGTTTTTGCTTATTTGATGGTAAGAGTTTGTGCTTATTTGATGGTAAGAGTTTTTGCTTATTTGATGGTAAGAGTTTTTGCTTATTTGATGGTAAGAGTTTTTGCTTATTTGATGGTAAGAGTTTTTGCTTATTTGATGGTAAGAGTTTTTGCTTATTTGATGGTAAGAGTTTTTGCTTATTTGATGGTAAGAGTTTTTGCTTATTTGATGGCAAGAGTTTTTGCTTATTTGATGGTAAGAGTTTTTGCTTATTTGATGGTAAGAGTTTTTGCTTATATGATGGTAAGAGTTTTTGCTTATTTGATGGTAAGAGTTTTTGCTTATTTGATGGTAAGAGTTTTTGCTTATTTGATGGTAAGAGTTTTTGCTAAGAGTTTTTGCTTATTTGATGGTAAGAGTTTTTGCTTATTTGATGGTAAAAGTTTTTGCTTATTTGATGGTAAGAGTTTGTGCTTATTTGATGGTAAGAGTTTTTGCTTATTTGATGGTAAGAGTTTGTGCTTATTTGATGGTAAGAGTTTTTGCTTATTTGATGGTAAGAGTTTTTGCTTATTTGATGGTAAGAGTTTTTGCTTATTTGATGGTAAGAGTTTTTGCTTATTTGATGGTAAGAGTTTTTGCTTATTTGATGGTAAGAGTTTTTGCTTATTTGATGGTAAGAGTTTGTGCTTATTTGATGGTAAGAGTTTGTGCTTATTTGATGGTAAGAGTTTTTGCTTATTTGATGGTAAGAGTTTTTGCTTATTTGATGGTAAGAGTTTTTGCTTATTTGATGGTAAGAGTTTGTGCTTATTTGATGGTAAGAGTTTTTGCTTATTTGATGGTAAGAGTTTTTGCTTATTTGATGGTAAGAGTTTTTGCTTATTTGATGGTTAGAGTTTTTGCTTATTTGATGGTAAGAGTTTTTGCTTATTTGATGGCAAGAGTTTTTGCTTATTTGATGGTAAGAGTTTTTGCTTATTTGATGGTAAGAGTTTTTGCTTATATGATGGTAAGAGTTTTTGCTTATTTGATGGTAAGAGTTTTTGCTTATTTGATGGTAAGAGTTTTTGCTTATTTGATGGTAAGAGTTTTTGCTTATTTGATGGTAGGGTTTTTGCTTATTTGATGGTAAGAGTTTTTGCTTATTTGATGGTAAAAGTTTTTGCTTATTTGATGGTAAGAGTTTGTGCTTATTTGATGGTAAGAGTTTTTGCTTATTTGATGGTAAGAGTTTGTGCTTATTTGATGGTAAGAGTTTTTGCTTATTTGATGGTAAGAGTTTTTGCTTATTTGATGGTAAGAGTTTTTGCTTATTTGATGGTAAGAGTTTTTGCTTATTTGATGGTAAAAGTTTTTGCTTATTTGATGGTAAGAGTTTGTGCTTATTTGATGGTAAGAGTTTTTGCTTATTTGATGGTAAGAGTTTGTGCTTATTTGATGGTAAGAGTTTTTGCTTATTTGATGGTAAGAGTTTTTGCTTATTTGATGGTAAGAGTTTTTGCTTATTTGATGGTAAAAGTTTTTGCTTATTTGATGGTAAGAGTTTTTGCTTATTTGATGGTAAGAGTTTTTGCTTATTTGATGGTAAGAGTTTGTGCTTATTTGATGGTAAGAGTTTTTGCTTATTTGATGGTAAGAGTTTTTGCTTATTTGATGGTAAGAGTTTTTGCTTATTTGATGGTAAGAGTTTGTGCTTATTTGATGGTAAGAGTTTTTGCTTATTTGATGGTAAGAGTTTTTGCTTATTTGATGGTAAGAGTTTTTGCTTATTTGATGGTTAGAGTTTTTGCTTATTTGATGGTAAGAGTTTTTGCTTATTTGATGGTAAGAGTTTTTGCTTATTTGATGGTAAGAGTTTTTGCTTATTTGATGGTAAGAGTTTTTGCTTATATGATGGTAAGAGTTTTTGCTTATTTGATGGTAAGAGTTTTTGCTTATTTGATGGTAAGAGTTTTTGCTTATTTGATGGTAAGAGTTTTTGCTTATATGATGGTAAGAGTTTTTGCTTATTTGATGGTAAGAGTTTTTGCTTATTTGATGGTAAGAGTTTTTGCTTATTTGATGGTAAAAGTTTTTGCTTATTTGATGGTAAGAGTTTTTGCTTATTTGATGGTAAGAGTTTTTGCTTATTTGATGGTAAGAGTTTGTGCTTATTTGATGGTAAGAGTTTTTGCTTATTTGATGGTAAGAGTTTGTGCTTATTTGATGGTAAGAGTTTTTGCTTATTTGATGGTAAGAGTTTTTGCTTATTTGCTGCAGCTTCTTACCCCACATCCTCGCCACTTTCGTTCTGATCTGTAAGAAAAAACAAAGTATGATGACAAGACAATTCTTAAACATATCTCAGTGTACAGTAATGTTACATACATAAACAAGGAGATACAAGGTGACAAACTAATACACAGAAGGTCACATGGTGAGACAAACATGGTGAGACAAACAAACATAGTGAGACAAACAAACATGGTGAGAAACATGGTAAGACAAACATGGTAAGACAAACATGGTGAGACAAACATGGTGAGACAAACATGGGGAGACAAACATGGTGAGACAAACATGGTGAGACAAACATGGTGAGACAAACATGGTGAGACAAACAAACATGGTGAGACAAACATGGTGAGACAAACAAACATGGTGAGACAAACAAACATGGTGAGACAAACATGGTGAGACAAACATGGTGAGACAAACAAACATGGTGAGACAAACATGGTGAGACAAACATGGTGAGACAAACAAACATGGTGAGACAAACAAACATGGTGAGACAAACAAACATGGAGAGACAAAACAAACATGGTGAGACAAACATGGTGAGACAAACAAACACATGGTGAGACAAACAAACATGGTGAGACAAACAAACACATGGTGAGACAAACAAACACATGGTGAGACAAACATGGTGAGACAAACATGGTGACTTACTGGACATGAGATAGTCTGTGGTTGACCTGCCAAACATCTCAGGACCACCAGACAACGTGGCAGAGCGACAAATATGCTGGGGTGGGAAGTTGATCAATTTTAAAATGTTAGCGACAAATATGCTGGGGTGGGAAGTTGATCAATTTTAAAATGTTAGCGACAAATATGCTGGGGTGGGAAGTTGATCAATTTTAAAATGTTAGCGACAAATATGCTGGAGTTGGAAGTTGATCAATTTTAAAATGTTAGCGACAAATATGCTGGGGTGGGAAGTTGATCAATTTTAAAATGTTAGCGACAAATATGCTGGGGTGGGAAGTTGATCAATTTTAAAATGTTAGCGACAAATATGCTGGAGTTGGAAGTTGATCAATTTTAAAATGTTAGCGACAAATATGCTGGAGTTGGAAGTTGATCAATTTTAAAATGTTAGCAGCAAATATGCTGGGGTGGGAAGTTGATCAATTTTAAAATGTTAGCGACAAATATGCTGGAGTTGGAAGTTGATCAATTTTAAAATGTTAGCGACAAATATGCTGGGGTGAGAAGTTGATCAATTTTAAAAATCGTAAACAGTTTTATATAATTTGAGACAGACTAAAGATATGTTGATAAAATCTGTGTACAATTTGAGAGAGAAAAAAGAGAAACAACATTTGTTACCTTTCCCTGAAAGAAAATAACAGGTACGACAAAGCGAGAGCGACATCGTGCACACCTGGCATTCCTCATCTTCTGCAGGATGTTTGCAGCATAATATTTGCTTTCAACTCTGTCAAAAATGTCGGGGAAAAACATGTAAATAAAAAATGTATAAAACCTAAAATAATCTTTTCAACTATGTACTATGGAGGAATCTTCTAGCAGTAGAGAGCTGGACTACTAACCAGTAAGTCTCGAGTTTGAATCCGGGTTCAAGTCACAAGACCGTCCCTGAGTCCACCCAACTGTGATGGGTACCTAACTCTTGTTAGGGAGAGTAAAGGCGGCTGGACATGGTGCTGACCACACTATCTCTTCATATGCTGAAGTCACAGAAACAAGTGAACTCTACTTCACTTGCCCTATAGACCGTCAACATTGAAAAGGGAACTTTACTTTTTACTTTAGTATAGAGGACAGGAACTTTTTTTGCCAAGTAATAAAACAAAATGCACCAGGAAATCAATTCTTACAACTCCGTGCTGGACTGCGTATCTCTCTCAAATTCAATGATGACCAGCTTCATTGGGTAGTGTCCACAGAGCTCTCCATTTAAATTAGGCACAATCTATAAAGAGAGAATTTAAATTAGGTACAATCTATAAAGAGAGAATTTAAATTAGGTACAATCTATAAAGAGAGAATTTAAATTAGGTACAATCTATAAAGAGAGAATTTAAATTAGGTACAATCTATAAAGAGAGAATTTAAATTAGGTACAATCTATAAAGAGAGAATTTAAATTAGGTACAATCTATAAAGAGAGAATTTAAATTAGGTACAATCTATAAAGAGAGAATTTAAATTAGGTACAATCTATAAAGAGAGAATTTAAATTAGGTACAATCTATAAAGAGAGAATTTAAATTAGGTACAATCTATAAAGAGAGAATTTAAATTAGGTACAATCTATAAAGAGAGAATTTAAATTAGGTACAATCTATAAAGAGAGAATTTAAATTAGGTACAATCTATAAAGAGAGAATTTAAATTAGGTACAATCTATAAGAAAGAGGAGTTAGTTAGGTACAGAACTTGAACACTTGAAAGTTGATCAGCAGTAGAGTTTGAAGTCTTCACAGTTGAGTAATCAATACTAAGCTATTTAACAAAATTTGAAAAACAATTTACTGTGAATTTATAGTCTTTGGAAAACAGAAGAATACACTTCTCCATAATTGTTTCACCCTGTAATGAACAAAAAAATGTATGTAAATGTATGTTGTATGTAGAGTATTAACATGTGTATTTAAGGATTGCTTTGATTCTAGTATCACATTCAGCCAGCAAGACATATGCTTTTTAAAAAGGCCAAGGCTATTCCCAGCCGGTTGGGAATAGCCGTATTGGGTCTATTCCCAGCCGACTGTTAATAGCCCCAGTACGGCTCTTCTCAGTCTGCTGTCAATTCATGCTAAATAAGACTGGGAATAATATCTTACCATAATAAAAGCATTTACTGTGACTAAGGAGTGAGGTATAGATTAAGAGAGCCATGCTATTTTTTTATTGTCATATTTTCATTAAAAAAATATTATGGTTTAAGTTTAGCATTTAGGCTTGTATCTGCTATGTCGGTCGTAGATGAACTGATCAATTATCATTTTGCACTCTAATTAAATCTATAATAATACTAGTCAAATTAATAGATCTAGTCATTTTAAAATAAATAATATTAATAATGCATCAGTTTAGTTTGTAGTTCACACTGCTATTCAACTGTCAATTACCATTTAAAATTTGATAGAAATAGAACAAATATCAGGCGAATTAGGATGTCCTTTTTAAATCAACTATAATTCAGTTTCCATCACGCTTCTCCCAAGATGTGTTTGCTCTTAGCAAAAATCTAAGGGACAGGTCTCTCTTTTTTGCAGGTATGACATTAATTACGTAACAAATGATTTAAAAATTAAACGTAATCCTGTCATGAACAACGGGAAAAATTTTGATAACTAAGTGTCAAAAAACAAGGACTCTGAGGGGTTCGAACCCGCACCTTCCAGCTCAGCCGCCACTTACATTTCTACTCAACCACCCGACTTTATGCTTTACATCAGGGGTCTCCAAACTTTTCAGTCCGAGGGCCGCATTAACTATCAAATTTCAGTTCGGGGGCCAGTTTCTTCCAGACATGTCGTGATTTTTCTGGGCAAAGTTCCTCAGCCATCACCAACAAACGTTTTCTCCGTGGACAAAAAGATCTCCGCGGGCCGGATGCGAGTGCCTCGCGGGCCGCAGTTTGGAGACCCCTGCTTTACATGATGTTTTTAACATTAAATATATCAAAAAACGGTCACAACTGTGAATAACCCTAATATAGCTATTCCCAGTCAACTGGAAATCAACACCGAGGTATTGACTATTGACCTTAAATGACGTTGCGGCATGCGGGTATACTTATTTCCCCGTGAAAAATCAAGGTAGTATGTATTAAGGTCACACAGTGTCTTGTCACGATGTAGACTAATTGAGTAAAAGTGGGACATCTCGCAATGTATACCGACCTAAAGTTTGTATATGCACAGAGTGACCCCTCAAAAGGCGGTTTATTTTTTTTTCTCACACAGATTAGAAAGTGTCAGCAGGCAAGGACCGGACGACAATGCTTAGAATTTTGAATATCTAGATATAGATTTTAAAAATATAGTCTTAAGTCTAAAATTATATTCTATAGAGACAGGATTTTTCTCCCGATGACAAGAAAACAAGTGCGGCTGGTCATAGGCTGTTGAGATTTTTTAATATAGAGATCTGTATTAGGCCTATTCATAAAAAATCAAAACTCGATTTTAAAAAAAGAACAACACACAATGTTCGTGATATGATATATCAGCCTCTTTAGTTTATAACTAAAAAAACATGAAACACATTTTATCGCAAACTGTGTCTTGCTGTTTACCCGTGATTCCACAGGTATGTCTGGTCATTTCGCTTTTGAGTCTCGCAATTTCCTAACAGCCAGGAATAGACACTTCATTTTTAAAAAATGGCAAATATTTTGAGATGAGCCTTTTAACAACCGGTTGGCTATGTTTCATTGAGCTGAATACAGAGATAGTATAAATTTCCTAGAACTAGATCTTGAATCTATATTAATAGTTCCGCTGTCTGTGTATCTATCTATCTGACAAGAACACTATAGAGAAAACATAAGCAAAGTAAAAACATGCATAGTAATTCGAAAAACGAAACGTGATGTCACATGGAGCATATAGTAAAAAATAGTCTAAAGCCGGAGAGTGCACACAGTAATATGACGTCATTGATTCTCGAGTAAACATTGAATTAAAAAGCCAATTTTTGTCTAATCTTAAGTGGTTTGCATGAAGAGTTTCTTTCATGCAATTCTTTGGGTAAGGGGCAGAGCCCCCCCCCCCTTCTTAAGAACGTTTATGCAGCCCCACCCCCTCAAAAGAAATGACGTCATCAATACTCTATAATAAAAACACTGACATTATGGCCTAATTAATGTGTCTAATCTTTAAAGTGTTTTACGTGAAGTTTCTTTCATGCACCTCATCGGGTAGGGGCGAAGCCCCACCCCCTGGTAGAGTGTCTATGCCGATCCCCCTCGCCCCCTCAAAGAAATGACGTCATTGATACTCCATAATAAAATACTGACATTAGGGCCTAAATTATATATCTAATGCTATAAGTGTTTTGCATGAAGAGTTTCTCTTCTGGTATGGTCAAAGCCCCTTTACCCCCCCCCCCCCCCACCCCAAAAAAAAGGCATAATATAATTTATATAGAAAATATATACTTTTACCAGTCTCGTCCTCCCCCGACCCGTCAAAATTTATTCGCCCCTGCGAAAATTCAAGTGCCCCACCCCCGAAAAAAAAAGGCTTAAACGAACACGGTCTGGGTGAGTAAAATTTATCGGTCGAAAATAGGAAACAGGTCTATATTATAGAAGTAGGCTCAACCTTTAGTTTGTATGTGCTACAAATGCGACCAGTGTCAGGTGCAAGGTTTAGGCCTTAGGGGTATGACTTCGACCATGTTCAGTATCAATATGCAGTAACTATTAACTTTGCGTAGATCAAGCTTAATTCCAGTTATAATGCTGATTCTGATCAGAAATCCGTTTTCAATTACATTTTTCGTTTCCGGTTAAAATTAAAGTTGAGGTGGTGATTTTGTTTTAGTTTCGATTTAGAGGAAGACAACACTTACACTATTATCAACCTAGCGCTCATTGTGTCAATCATTGAATTGTATCTTTCCCTCAACTCAACGGGCCATTTAGAAATTAGATCTCGTCTAGTGACATCTAGACAGATTTGCAAAACTGGACAGGGAGATCCCTGTTCCACCTAATAAAATTCTTGACATGAATTTAGAATAGTATTTTTTTAATTCTTGACATGAAGTAGTCCTAAATCTAGATCTAGACTAAATCTAGATCTAGATCTTCTAGAATACTACACACTTACACAAGTTCACGTACGTACCTTGATGTCGGCATTTTTTACTCGGTGACTAGTTTTAACAAAATGGTTAAGAAGTTTAGTAATGTCATCTTTGTCAATTACTTGGTCTAGAAATTCAGTTTCCATTTTTCATAGCTTAAATAATTTACAAGAAAATGTACTCATAGATAGATAATCTAGATCTAGATTTATACCTAGAATCTAAATTCTAAATACACGGGATTTTTCGAGTGAGTTCTCTTCATAGTTGTTTTGATTTTGTATCAAGTGTTATCTGCCCTGCTATTTTAAAATAGTTAATCGGAAACAGTGTAGGTCAAATTTAAAAAAAAAAAAAAGATTGTAGGCCCCTATAAGGCCTAATTACTATTAGTTAGGCCTAGATAAAGCTTAACATAATAATACGAATATTTCTTTATTCCTAAAAACGTATTAACAGAGTTGGGCTAAGGTTTGTATTTTATTTGCTTAGTCTGTGATATTTTTTGTAAAACTTTTTAGCTCCCCTAGAATCACAATACTAGTAGTAGTAGGCCTATACAAGTGCTTCCCCGGAGAAACAAGTAATTAAAAAAAGTCTAGTGACAATTTTAGCGCAATTTCCTTATGTTATCTAAAAATAGCTCTGTCGTAGCGTAAATCAAGAGCAGGGTTAGTAAAACCATTGGTTAGTTATTAAAACGTTTTTTATTTTTATTTTTTTCAGTATTTTACATGTTTTATTTACAATAGAGTAACATGACTAAAAACCATTGCGCGCCTAGCTACCGAACGTGATGGCGCAGCTATTGAACGCGATGACGCGTGTGGTGTGGTTGCATAAAATGCCTACTAATTCGGTCCAAATTTTAATTAATTCAAAAAACTTTTTGTGACCAAACGAAAGGATATTTTTGAAAACTTTCTTCGGCAGTATTGTTCTAAATTATGGCAGGAATCGATTGGTACATGTTTCAAGTCGCTAAGTGGTCTGGTTGCCGAGATATGGGCCAAAAACTGCATTTTTTCCAGGTTTTTTGGATTTTCCGGGAAATACATGAAAGAAACCCGGAATTTTTATGGCCTATGCTCATTCTCGTAACTTGCTTAACATAATTGTTTTTGTAACTAGTCATCGATATTGCTTCGTTGAGGAGGAGATACGACTTAAAGCCCGGACACACATTCATCCATACATTCATCCATCCATCCATCCATCCAGAAATGACGAGTTAATAAACGCAATTCTCCAGAATGGAAATTGCGCTAAAAAGTTTGGAAGAAACACTGCATCTAAACAACACCACTATTAAACTTAAAAATGAAACTTGTTAACGCACAGTTCAATACATTTATTTACTTATACCAGACAATACAATAGTTTACAGGGTTACAATATCAGAACGTATAACAATTTACTATCATCACTCTACATACTTTCAGTACCGGTACCCACAAACTACCCAGTACCGGTACCCACAAACTACCCAGCCAGACATACAGCAACATGACAGGGACTGGCAACAGGACAGCTTCTGGATGACAGCCTCAGGTTGACATCACAGTACTGGACAGCGTCTAGTCGACTGTTACAGTGGCAATATCTCTCCGACAGTTAGGGAACAGCTTCTCCACCCTCAAGACAGCGACGGTACAGCATCTCACAGGACAGGTTGACATCACGACGACAGGTACTGGACAGCTTCTCGTCGACAGGTACTGGACAGCTTCTCGTCGACAGGAACTGTACAGGATTTCACAGCACAGTTACAGGTTGACATCACGATGACAGGTACATGTTGACATTACGATGACAGATACAGGTTGACATTACGATGACAGGTACAGGTTGACATTACGATGACAGGTACAGGTTGACATCACGATGACAGGTACATGTTGACATTACGATGACAGATACAGGTTGACATTACGATGACAGGTACATGTTGACATTACGATGACAGATACAGGTTGACATTACGATGACAGGTACAGGTTGACATTACGATGACAGGTACAGGTTGACATTACGATGACAGATACCGGACAGCATCTCACAGGAGAGGCACATGACAGCATAACATCAGGCCACATTGCGTTCATGTCGGGTTGCATCTGAATTGCCTATAAATAGGCCACGCTGGAAGAAAAAGGGGGGGGGAGATATTAAATGGGGTACCAGCCAACATTTAGAACAATCTCTGTTATGATATGGTACATAGTTGGATTCAGAGTTTCTTCCAGGCATCTCCTCGGGTGGGGGGGGGGGGGGTGAAGAAAGTCTACCGCCCCCTTCCCCACCTCCGAACGAAATGAAATTTATATAGAAAATATTTATTTTAACAGTATCCATCCCCCCCCCCCCCCCCCGGAGAAAAAAGTCTGGAAGAAACACTGGTTGGATGATAAGTTTGTTAGTATACGGAAAGAGGAAGATAAATACAGTGATCCAGGCAAGTTGTTATAAAATTAAGTAAAAGTATCTGATATCTCACGTTAAGAAAATCGTAAGTATAATAGATTAGGAATACACAACGGAGACAGAAGCCATCAGCATGTAGCCATCTTTATTTGGTAAACGGAAGAGGAACAATAATAGATAAATACAAGGGACATCACTCAATAACAACATTATAAATATAACTAATACAAGAAGAGTGAGTTCCCCTGACCTCACAAATCCCAATATGTTACATCCCTTTACCCTTAGTAAACACAACTCATCTCTCAATAGAACAATTTACAGTATCCTAAAATCACCAATTATATTGCAACATGAACATTATGGTAGATTACATCCAAAGGCGTATCTAGGTTTTCGTTGTAGGGGGAGCGAAAAGAGCAAAAACAGGCGCCGAATTTTTAACACGTTCTATATACGTGTATTTATATATATATATATATATATATATATATATATATATATATATATATATATATATATATATATATATATATATATATATATATATATATATATACATATATACATATATATATATATATATACATATATACATATATACATATATATATATATATATACATATATACATATATATATATATATATACATATATATATATATATATATATATATATATATATATATATATATATATATATATATATATATATATATATATATATATATATATACATATATATACATATATATATATATATGTATATATATACATATATATACATATATATATATATATATACATATATATATATATATATATATATATATATATATATATATATATATATATATATATATATATATATATATATATATATATATATATATATATATATATATATACTACAACCAAAAACAATGAACGTAACACAATCTGTTTTGTAATTCTTGTAAAAAAAATAATAATTCCTGGGAAATTATTTAAGACAAGTGAAATAGGGGAAATAATCACTCTCTTAATATAAATATGAATATATCTACACATTTAATTATAAATGTCAAAACAAATGAATAATTACTCAATAATATAATTAAATTGTTTAACACTATTCGTGTTTACAAAATGTTTTTGTCTATAATCAGAATTTAATATATCGTCATCATAAATGCCAAAGTATTACAGCATAATGAAAGTTTTTAAAAATTAGAGTTGGTATAAAACCACGCTTTTCGAAACAATAGAAAAACATTCGGAATAACAGCCTACAATTAAATAAACATCGGTCTTTTAGTTCAGATCATATATTTTAATTAACTACTGCTTCTTTGTGTTCTTTAAAGATCATTTTTTAACATAGTGATAGGCATGGGTTAGATCACTGTATTGATCACACACCTTTTTACTGGTAATTGCAAAAACAATATTCACAGAGTTTTACGTTTAACAAGCTAATGTTCTGGCGCCATGGTACTTTGGTACATCAGAAGCGTAGCGATGGGGGGGGGGGGGGGGGGCAGGGGGGCAGGGGGGGGGACATATGTCCCCAGGCGCCGACCTTAGGGGGCGCCAAAATGGGTTTTAAAAACAAATTAAAATGTCATTTTAGCTGCATTTTTGCATTATAAATAGTTTGAGGGGGGGGGGGGAGGTGTGTGGGGGAGGGGAGATAACCAACTCAGAGTGAACATAGCGTCAGTTTTTAGATGACTGTTCTAAACATACATATATATTACACAAATATATATTACACAAATATATATTACAGAAATAGATTTAAATAAGTTGCAGTGGTATTATGACAATATTTTTTTACAGAGGGGTCCATGGGGGGGGAGGGGGGAAAATTGTAACTGTTTCATATAATTTGTAATCGTAATCACTATCGCCCAAACTGTAAGAATACTACTACTTCATCGTGATGACGTTGTTGAACTTGTCAAAATTTCCCCACCACTGCGCAGTTTGCTCATAAGTAAATTTAAATAGAGGTGCCACATCAGTTGTATTTGTTTCTGTATTGTATTTTTTTTTAAAAATTAATCACACGATTCAAACTGTATATATAAAGTAATTATGTGTGAAGTTTTATGTATAACATCTTCTAATTCAATTATTCGTAAGCAAATACATTATACAGTTTGCCTTAAACTTAACACCCCTCTTGCCAAGTGGTACTACCGTACAGGTTTTTTAATCATTGCAATGCATCGTAATGGTTATTTTTAGAATGGCAAACTGATACAGCTGTTAATACGTGTTGTAAACGTAGACACTACTAGACTAGTACAATAATGTTTAATTGCTGCATGAAAAGAAATCTTGTGATTTACATAGATGTGTCGACCAAAAATATTTGTTTTTAAAATATCATTGTTTAAAACTTAGAGTTTAAAAAGTTTCCAAAAAGGCGCCACTTTGCTGAAAATGGCCAGAGGGGGAGCGGCCGCTCCCCCTGCTCCCCCCCTGCGTACGCTACTGATTACATCCTTACAAACAATGCACAATATGTTACAACATAATTAAGATACAACACAATGATGTCAAAGTCCTTTTGACCTTTAAAATCATAGGTCTAACTTATTTGGGACCTTGGTTGTCCTGCTTGACCTTCTCAGTGGCTTTTGATTTGGTGACTCAAGATTCTGACCATCTGGATTCTCTATCTCAGGAGGTCTAGGATTTAAATCATTAACTCCAGAATTTACATTTTCTGACTCCAGACAACTTGGTTCACTCATATCAACAGAACTTGGTTGTGGAACAAACTGAGTTGGTGTGAACTGTTCAGATTTGGTGGGATTGACAGATTCACACTTATTATCTGCACAAGTTATTTTTAACTGGTCTGCATGTCTACGGACAATAAGTCCATCATTTGTTTTTACTTTATAAGACACAGGTCCTGTACATTGAACAATTTGACCTGGTATCCATTTTTCCTTTCTCCCATAATTTCTTAGATACACATTCTCATTAACTCCAAATTCTCTTTCAATGGATGATTTGTCATGATTTACTTTTTGTGTATGTTGATGTTGGGAAACAGACCTTTGAACAGTTGGATGTAGTAGATCAAGGTGGGTTTTAATTTTCCTACCACATAACAATTCACATGGTGCAACACCTGTTGTTATATGAGGAGTTGTGCGGTATTTGGTTAAGAACCTGTTTACTCTTTCTCTAAGAGAAAACTTGTTACCGGTACTCATTTTTACCATAGCGGTTTTGAATATGCCTACCGCTCTTTCAGCCAAACCATTCCCAGCAGGATGATAGGGGGATGTGTGTGATGACGCAAGATTACGTCAGACATGTTTAGCAGATATAGGTTAGCAGAAACAGACTATCTATAGGCCTAGTTGGTTGGTCAGATAGAGGCCAATGGGCGCACAGGGCTGACCGGTCACATGGGACGGTCAGCTGACCACTGAAGCGTGGGTCAGTAGAGCCATAGGCAGTTGATAGGTAGATAGCGAGGAGAGAAGGTGTTAGGAAGCGGTTAGAGACGGTTGTAATTTGCAGAGCTAGAGAACAGTTAGATAGTGTTAGGAGTGGTCACGGGAGTGTGTAGTTAGTAGTATAGTGAACAGTCAGTAGTAGAAGTAAATAGTACAGTGTAGATCAGTTAGGTAGAAACTTGAACATATATAGCATTTTAATAAAGAACAATTATAGTTGAACTTGAACTGTGTGTTGTTGGATTCATTCGTCCCGCATCATAAAACCCCCACCCTCACATCTGGTGGAGCGCGGGTCGAGTGAGGGAAAGAACGTATATCAGCTATTCATGACGGAGTACGACTGGTGTACAGCTTTCTTCAACTCAACACAACAACGGGTTTCTTCAACCGGAACGAGTTTGGATTAACAACACAAGGAAACAGTCTACATGTCCAAAAAGATAAGTACCTTCCAAAATTTTTTTAAACGTTTGGGTTTAGACTCGTGCTGGATATTTGGTACCAGCGATTTTTCTGCCTCTTTCTTATCTGTTTCTTCAACCACACTACCCTTAAAAATGCCTCCATTGTACGAAGTGGGCACTAAAACTGAGCTCAAGTCAGGCCTAGAAGAGTCAGGTAGAATTGATGACTTGTTGCTATACACAAATGTTCAGAATACAGTTAAAATGGAACACAAAACAAGAACTATTGAGGATCCAGATATTCTGGATGAATTGATTATTAGGCTTGGACAATACACGACAACAGAAAATCGAGACTGGTTATTAACTGTTAAAGAATTTGACGTAAAAACTCTAGATGATCCAGATGCTATGGAAGATTTGATCAATAGAATTGTAGATTACAAGGTAACCGGAGATCCAGATTCCTTGTTGACTGAAGAAGAATATGATGCAAAGATAGATGCCGAGTTAGCAGAGAAACAAAGAGAAGCAGAAACATATATTGCCGGAATTAAAGAAGAAACAGAAAGAATTCGTAAAGAAATAGAAAAAATGAGAGAACTTCGCCAAGCCAAACAAGAAACGGTGCAAAGTTTAGATACTAATAATAACAACCAGACAGCTGAAACAACATTTTACTATCCCTACGATTCAGATTCAGATGACACGTTCAGTGAAGCAAGCGAAATACCTACAACAAAAAGTGAAACACAACATACACTCCAAAAACATAATACGGCAAATCACACCATTCAGATTAACTACAGTCAACAAAAACACAAGTACAGTGTCAGATGCTACTATTGTAATAGAACAGGCCACAAACAAATAAATTGCAGAATACGATATTATGATAGACGCCAACAAGATGCACAACGCAACAGACCAAAATATAGACAGATAAATAGAAAAGCTTTTATGTCATCGTTTACAGAAGCCAGTAGAAGAACAGACATATTTACATCAAAAGTCAATAACAGATACGCCACATCAATTAGGGATACACTATGCTCCACAGTGGCAGTACGTAACACATTCGTACAACACCACCAATACACAGGCAGAACACAACGTGTTCACAGTTCAAGAGGCAGCACATATGTTTGGCCAACAGCTATGGTCACCATAGCCACACCCTCGGCGTGTAAAACAGTTGAAGCAGTTGTTTTCAAAAACGGGCCATACGATATGATATTAGGCAACATTACAGGAGTGAAGCAGTTTAATGTAGAATTTATGAACCACAAGCAACAAATAAACAAGCAGCCCAGTATTCGAGACAACGAAAAAGTAGACACAAAAGTAGACGAGATGCAATTCAAAACGGGCAAGTTGATAGAAAAAGTTAACGAGGTTATTGATGATC